CATAAAACAACAATAGAATGGAAAATCCCCTGTGTTCTTGAAAAGGATATCTTATCGTATGATTTCATTTTGTTTTATTTTCACATATAAAAATACTATAGGGAGAATTGATTACTATTTTAAATGTTTAAAAACCTGGCTGGAAGTTAAAAATGTGGTCAGTAAAGTAAGGATAAGAGCGAGTGCTTAGGTGACCATAATATTCTAAGGATTCAGAGCCTCTAAACTACAAGATCAAACCAGACGCAGAGGGTAAATAGTATTTCACCGTTAGTTTTTCACATTTGCATTTGGCCTGCGAGTATGGACTACAATTGGAGCTAACATGCAATACCAACAATATTGTTCAGAAGCCAAGTACAGTTAATTTTGTGCCTTAAATATAGTTATATTCAGCTGTTTCTTGTAATGTGAAGATAAAAAGATATTGGAAACAAAACATCCTCTAAATATTTTGCCTACAACTCAATTTCGAACTACAGTTACCTGCCTGTGTCGGTGAGTGATACATTCATGGATCCAAACTATTGTGGGTTGATAATATTTAGGGAAAATATTTTTCTGTGCTGGAAAAAAAAGCAGACTTTTGATCATTATTGTCTAAAGGATACTGTATAACTCCTATTTGCATAGCACTTAGATTGCATAGGTGTTGTAGGTAATCGAGTTGATTTAAAATGTATGCGAAGATATGTACATAGGTTATATGCAGATGTTATTTATATGGGGGATTTAACATCTCTAGATTTTAATATCTACAGAGGGGTGTGTGAACCAATTTCCTATAGACACCAAGACTGACTGCAGTAGGCAGTTACGTTAGCCTCAATGTTATCCCTGATTAATGAGTTAATTTTATGAAGCTTTAGAAAGTTGTAAAATAACCTAAATAATAATGTAGTTTATTATTATAAACTGTATAAATAAACTATATTCTTATATAAATCTATATTCTTATATAAAATATATATACTAAAAAGGCAAAAACTAGAGTACTTTACATGCAATGACATTGCAATGACATTCACATGCAATGACACATTTCTGTGACAAGGATAAACTTCCTTGGCTTTGTTCCCTTTGCTGGCAAACCTACTTATCAGGATCACTTTCATTGTCTTCCTCCCTTCAAGAAAGCCTCCATGATGACCAAGGGGCTTCCCCAGCCTGCCCTGTCTCCACAGAGCCACTGTCCGGGTGGGAGGCAGATGTTTAAAATGCAGTTTTGCTTGACATTTCTCTAACAAATGCTTGCAGATGTTCTACACCACTCTTCTGCCTTTGACACACTCTAAAAATATTTATACTTTGCTAAAACAATATTACAGACTGTTTTACAACCAAAACTTATATTCCTAATTAAGCCTCCTGCAATGTTTTTTGTCTCATTTGTGCCTCTCTCTGTAAATATTCCTCCTCTCTTGCTTTCATTCTTATTAGGACAAAAGAAATAACTAAGTGTAATCTGCAATTTAATTTTTCTCTTTTACTATTGTTTTGGAAAAGTTATTGTGCAGATCAATATTTAGATGAGAATGCAAAATATAGCGAAGTTTGTCTATCTTATTTTTCTTAGCCATTTCACTCAAATGGGCATTTCAGTTCACTCATATTTTCTCTAATTTGAGTAAAAATGAAATGAGTACCTTTGTATACATCCTTAGAATAAGATCAAGATATAGTAAAATCCGGAAGTTTCCTCTAAAACAATAATTCCACAGATTTTTCCCTCCTCCTATATTCTTCTTACAGGGTTCTCTCGGACTCTGAGACCTTCTTGGTGTTTTTTATTTTATCTTGTTATTAAGGTCTTCTTGTACACCACTTACTGTATTCAATAGACTTTGATACACATTTAATAAACAATTTCATTTGGTCACAATAAATTGCTATAAAGATTAGTGTTCTCATTTTCCAGAAAAGGAAATTGAGATCTAGGGAGGGGAAGTAGCTTGTCCAAGGATTTAGAGCCAGTTCAGGAACCTGAGCTCTCCCGCCCCATTAGAATAGGCTGTCTCTCACAGTCTAATTCCTGAATATGCAAGGGAATCTTTGAACTAGATGCCTTTCCAGTACACATTTGTCAATACAACTGGTTCTGTTTCCCCTACCAGTGATGTTTTCATACATGCACACACACACACACACACACACACACACACACAACTAGAGAAAAGCAGGTAGGACTTTCTGTGATGATTTATCATGGCATTCTCATCCTTGGTTTGCTTCAGGTCTGTGGAACATACTCAGGAAGGAGCTCCAGCTCCATTCAGTAAAATTCATTGAGCTGGTGTTAGCTATGAGGTTTCATGCAGCTTAAGACATGAAGTGCAAAACACTAAGCCAGGCATCTATCCCTGACCCAGCATGTTCTATTGGAGTCTGGCTTTGGGAAATGAGTGTAGAATATTTGCAGTTCAAATTTAGCTGTGAACACCTATGAGAAGGCACAGTGGCTGTACACCCGGGAGAAGCACCAGGTCCCGAGGGATGGGCTTCCCTACCGTCATCATGCACGCTGCACTCCAGGCTCTGTGGTCCTGCTGGTCCCGAGGACGCACTCTGTGCAGCCCTGTTTCAGCAGCCTAATGCTCCGCGAGGTGCTGATTAGTTTTGTATCGAAAGGAGCTTTGTTTAGACCTGGTATTCTAACTTGCATGTAGCAAATTTTAGGACAAAATCCAGCTTGAAACAGATTGCTGCCTATTTAAGTAGAGAGGCTGGCTTCAGCGGAACAAAAAAGAAAAACAGTTCTAGATTTTTTTATGAAATGGCTAGAAAAGGGGAGCAGACAGAATGGGAGAAAATCCTATCTGTTGGAAAGAGCCAAGAGCACAATTTAAGAGAAAACATCTCCGCCTGGCAGGAGACACCCTGCCGGTGACAACTGCGGAACAGAACGGGGGCGCCAGGAGCCCTCGCTGCGCCGCCTGAGCCGAGGTGAAGAAGCCGGCCTGGGGCGTCCCCGTCCTCGGGGGGCTGGGTCCCTCGTCCCGTGTTTGCAGCCTCTGATGGCGACACAGTGATCCAGACTTCAGCAGCGTAGATTTATTTGTTTCACTTTCTACCACTTTTTAAAGGTCGGCAATGTGAAGAACACTTTGAAGAATAGCAGCTTTGCCAGAGTGTCTCTGAGCAGTTAGATTTGTGTTTAGGACAACAAAAGTGATCCGTATTTTTACTCCCAGACAGCCGAAGAACAAAGGAAATGCAAGATAAAACACAGGGCTCTGCCAGTATTGTAAATCCAGGCTTGCTTTGTCTTAGACTTGCTGTCAGTTTGATGAGTGCGAGGACTCTTTAGAAAGTTCTGATGTAATCTCATCAAGTGGGTAAAAGGCAATGGATGAAAATGTGATTCATCACAAGATCTTTGAATCAGAGGCATAGAGGTTAGAATCTGACAACGTCTTTTATTCAGTGTTTATCTTTGGACAGCACCATGGATGTTACTTCTTTAGGTCTCTGTTTCCTTATGTGTAGTGTGGAGATGATAGCTTACTTTGGGTGCTCATTGAAAGGATTAAAGAAGGGATTCACACACACACACACACACACAATAGAACAACATAATCCACCATTTCCTGCTTAGGATACATATTTTTGTGATCCTTTGCTGTTGTTCAACATGCAAGATATTTTAGGTGATATAATACATATTTAGAATATCAGAATGACATATTTTCTGAAATATTTTAATAAGCATTAAAGGAAATACTCTACCCTAGTCCATTGTCCAATTTGAGCTTAATGTTCCCCAAAGTGAACAAGAAGTCCATGTGAATTAAAAATTATGTATTCACAGGCTTTGACACATTGGTAGCTTTTTCCCACATCTTTATTGATGGGCATCTGTGTCACTAAAAGTGGCCTTTCTGTTCACTGTCTGTAACTCTCTGTTCTCATCCACAGCCGGCTTCTCACCCTTAAAGTCTGTTTGTGTCTAGCTCACATCTCACAGGACAGGGGACCTGAAATAGAAACAAAGGGCACAGTGGGTAGAAAGCATCCAGGTCACACGTGGGATTGTGGCAGTAGACGATGATAAGATCAAGGATGTGCACATCTGTTAATCGCAGGAAATGGGTGGAAGTGGGGTGCTATTGTAGGAGAGCGGAAGCTATAGATCAAGGAACACAAATAAAGCCAGCTGTGAAGTTCTTATAAGAGTTGTCCACATGGAAAACAAAGTCTCTTGTACTTATTTCTTAAATTAGAATTGTAAGATGCAAGAGTGAATTAGAAAAATAGGAGGTAAATTATTGATCTGTTCTACATATATGTTCTTCCTGTCTTGTGTCCATTAATTAATTTTTGATGATTTTAATACTTCCTACATTTCCACTGGTCTCATGGCCTTAAAGTCTACATTTTGCAAAAAAGAATACATTATGAGAACGGATCTCACAAGTCACAGATGCATACTTTTAATCCTCCTTCATTTTTGGAGAACATTTGACTATCCTCAGGCTTTTTAGGGAGTGTAGCTTTCTGAAAAGGAATGTTCACTGCCAGTCATTACCATTGCTCAATTATGTATTCTTGACTTGATTAAAATTCATAGAAACATTTACTTTTATTGTTATTGAATCGATCGGCGATGTCAGTAAATTGAATTATAAGCATAAACTCTAGCAGATAATAATCAATCTCAAAGCCAGTCCTGCCAGTCCTGACGCGGATTAGTTACACCAAAACTACCCAGCCAGATGAGCCAGTTTAACATCAAGTGAATCGGCGGACTCGAGTGAGCATCATTTTACTTTAAAAATGGCCCAAATAGTTGTTAAAGGAATCTTAGACTACATTTACTCAGTGGTAAAATTAATTACATGCGAAAAACACATGCAGTCCTCTGCTTCAAAATATTTGCGGAAATAACCAGAAAGATGTTGAGTTTAGCAAATTTGATTTTTAATTTCTCCAGCTCAAAAAATGTGTAAATTTGAAATAGATTTGAGTTTTTGCATTTAAATTACATGCATTCCTCTTTTTAGGTGGACCTCCTTGTCCCTACCAAAGTGACCGGCATAATCACACAAGGAGCTAAAGATTTTGGTCATGTACAGTTTGTCGGGTCGTACAAACTAGCCTACAGCAATGACGGGGAGCGCTGGACCGTGTACCAGGATGAAAAGCAAAGGAAAGATAAGGTGAGTCCTTACGGTGGCCCGCACAGCTCACCAGCAGAGGCCAAATTCCACGTGAGTTTCGGTAAATGAACACACAGCATTTGCACTGTGTTGAAAATGATGACTATGTATTCTGTACTCATTGTAAATCTGTATGTTACAAAGGTTAAAATAAAAGTACTTAAGGCTGTTTACAGTAGAGTATGTAATAGTGAAACCTGGAAAAGCAACTGGTTCCTGACATCCCCCAGCATTATTGATTGTGTAAGATATGGCTCTGTAAAATCCACCTTAGATTTTACAAACTTAATAGTAGCTTAAAAAATGATCATAATCCACATGTAAATAGATACTGCTGGGGCACATGCTATTATTATTTTTAATATTAAAATAAATTACTGGTGTTAGAACAGATGTTCACCTGGGGAAAAAAATTTCAAAAATTAACTATGTTAAAAATCTTAGACTATCTTGTTTATGTTGACAAGTAGGAGTTTAAGGAACACAGATAGACAAATTTTGACTGTTATATTAATTCACTGAAATAAAAGTCAGACATTTTTCTGTTCAATTTCCTTGATTATATTTTAATTAATACATTTGTTTAATTTTTTATGAAATGAGTAATGTGATTTATTATCAATATGTATACACACCATACAATTCTAAGCATACGAATTCTAATAATTGTTTAAGTTCTTACCATTTTGAACATCTTTTCGTAGTATATACTAGTGTCAAAGTGTGCAGGAATATTCTTCAGTGCTAATTTGAACATAAATTAAAATCTGGCCGCAGTTGGACCAATGGCATTGAGTTCATTCATTGCTCAGAAGCTTTATGCAAGAAGCTCTAGCTTTCTGAGAACATGAACAGAAACTCTTGGTTTAAGAATGTGGGGCAGGGCTGGGGATTTAGCTCGGTGGTTCTGGCGCCTGCCTTGTAAGCGCAAGGTCCTGAGTTCAATCCCTGGTACCAAAAAAAAAAAAAAATGTGGGGGAAAGTCATGTTAATCAGTGACTTGTTAAGTATTTCTAAATTAGCAATGATTTTTTTCTGATTAGCCCTTTTATTCTCTTATTGATATTGCATTATTAACTAAGAGAGAGGTTGAGAATACCTTTCTTTCTTCAAGTGTTCAAGGCATAGAATTTACGAATTTCACCAGAAGCAATAGGCCTGTTGTTGCTATTTCAATGAATTGATCAAGGCTGAATTCACTTCTCACAAAGTTCATTTTAGAAGGCATACATCTTTAGGTTCAGACTTCGATAACCACATATACTCTCATCTTAACATCTCGGAACGCATCCTTTTAACATCTCAGGACATGAGTACTTTTTACTTCTCAAAGACTTAGAAAAGCATACTCTTACAGTGTCACAATTTAATTGGGAATTCTTGTTCTTTCCCTGAAGAATTTAAAATAATGCCACAGTTTATAATTGGTGGCATGTTAGATTGCATGGATGTTGAGATTTTCCTAACAATTTATTCTATGAACTACAAACACATATCATCAGTAGCTTATTGTATATAACTATTCCAGTGTTTGTCCATCACCTTTTAGAGTAGGCACTCAGATGCATACAGGGTATGTGTTTCCTAAGGGGAAATCTTTTAACTTCTTTAGTAATAAAGCCTCGACATTAATTTTAAGACAGATCTTATCCGTGCGTAATATTTGCTAAGGAACACCTGTATAACAGTGAAATCTTTATGCAGGCTATTCAAGGAAGAAATTCAAAGAAAAATAAGATTAGAGATTTCAGCCATGGAAATATTTATCTCCATTTATATTAAAGATTGCTTTAATGATAATATATGAGTAATTTTCCTTTTGGATAGAATGAAGGTGTGTTTATGGATGTATTTTAATTTTCTTATTAATGTATTTATTTCATTAATCTGGTCTGAAAAATAGATTGATTTTGCTGCCACATTGCCGTGTTGCTAGCCTATGATGGTCAAGTGTTCTCCAGCCTCACTGATTCTCTCCTCTGCTTGCCCTAGCACTCACCTAGAGAGGACAGCGTAAGTCCGCTCTTAGAGTAGACTTGTCTCTCTCTTGCTATTACATCGCCGTTTGCCTTCTGTATTTCGGAGAGACTTAGCCAGATCTTGTCTCACAATGAAAACTAAATGCTTTTGGAAAAAGGCTGGGGAATGTTAGCTGGGTGTGGGCACAGCCCTGAGTTCAATCCCCAGCGCCTCAAACACACAACTGTAAACAGGATTTCAGTGCCCTTTTGATTAATTCTGTTATCATGTGACATGCTTTATTCTGAAAATTATTTTAGTATTAATGAATACTCCAGTTTTTTTTTTGTTCCTTCATGTATGTTTTCCCATCATTTTACCTACTTGTCCTCGACATCGGAAATGCATTTTCTGTATAGTGCATGGATGGGTCTCTGCTTTTGTGTGTTTGTTTTACGGGTCCACACTCGCAGTGTGCAGTGAACATGTTCATCGTGGGAATTTGTACATGTACATAACACATTGCAATGCTTTGTCTTTTTTTCTTCACTTTCCCCGTCCCTCCTTCTGAACCATCTCTACCTTCCCACTGACAGAAGCTCTACTTCCATTTTTTCCTTCAATGCGTTTTTTCTTTAACCCCCTTTTCCTGTCCTTCCCTCTTTGCTCCTCATCTCTTGTTCTCCTTCCATTTGAACAATTTCTTCCTATTTCCAATCATCTATCCTCTATTCTGCTCCTTACTTACACTTTGAGTTTCTCACACGAGAGAAACAATATGGTATTTAAATTTGTGTGTCTGATTTATTTCACTTAGGATTATGGTCTCGGGTGCATCCATTTACCTTTTTTATTAATTTTATTGGTACATTTTAGGTGTACAGTATAATGACATCCATCATTGGAAATTTGCACCTTTACATAATCTCTCTTGGTTCTTATTTTTCCCCCTTCCCCTGCCTCCCCTCAGCCCCTCCACCCCTCCCTATCCACAAAGGCTTTGTTTCCATTTTTCCTTTTCTCATATTAATTCCATTCCCTTCTTTCCTTTCCCCTGCCCCTCCCACTTCCCCTTCCCCTTTTACCTTTTTAACTGAAACATTTTAACCATTTAAATTTGATTTGTCAACTGATTGGGCTTAAATTGATCATTTTGCTCTTTATTTCGTATTTATTATATCTTTGTGGCTTCATTTGCATTAAATGAATGTTTAAAGATTCCACTTTGTATCCTTTGTTGATTTGTTAGCTCTAATGCTTTGTTATTTTAGTGATTGCCTTAGGATTCTGATGTACATTTTAGATTTATGAAACCTGCCCTCAATGAATGCTCAGGCCCAGGAACTTACAGTGTTTCCAAAAGCAGAAACAAAATAGACTGTGGCTAAAAAACTCATGTACTTTGCATCCACATTTATCACAATATATGATTTTATTATTACCAAAATAAGTCTTCTTATAAATAAATCAGCTGCTCCTACTCAATGTAAAAAACTATGAGAGTAGATTGACATATGCTATTCACTGAAAGAATGTAAGGCAGAATTCTCAACGTTAGCATGCTATCTATACAATTTGTAGTAGTCAGCTTTCCCCTCACTGGCACACAACACTGAGGGCCTTGACTTGTTTATAGTTGCAGTGCATGGTCCACTGGCCCCAAGGCAGGGCCAGCATGGCATCAGGGTGTGGTGCAGAGCTGCTCAGTTCATGAGGACCAGGAAGCCGAGCAGGGGAGCAGCACAGAGAGGAAGGGACGAGAGGCCAGATAGAGACTCCCAGGCCACGGCTCCATGGCCCAGACACACGCAGGGGTGTGTCATTTCTCAATCCAATGATGCTGACAGCATGCAACCAAAGGCCTAAAATTAAACCTATCTGGTTTATTTATAGAATTTTAAGTAATTGGGTTCAATGAAAAACACCTAAGATAAGTTAACTATTCATTATTCATAGAGACAAGTGACACCCATTTGAGGAACTGTAAGTAAATTGCAGCAATTAATATCACCATAAGGAAATAATTCCTGTAGGACAAGGAGGTACAGGGCAATAACCTCTCCATTCCCACGTCGCGGGGAATTTAAAAATAAATATAAAAACACCTGGAAAAGTAAGCTGATGTAGACATAGATAATAAAAATATATTTTATGTATATAAAATAATTATCATGCTTTGTTACTGTTGTCACTGCCATTAGATATTTTATCTCTATCCTTTATATATCTGAAAAGAAGAACACGATGTAACTTGCAATAGTGTCACTAAGTTTGAGCAAGCAATCTCCTACTAATTCTTAATGATATTTGCACCTTATTTTTATGGTTATTTTCCATAAGGAAAAAAAGTTTTCAGTATTCACAAGTCCAGAGTCAACTATAAGGCTTCATGAAAATAAATATGATAAACTATTTAAACATTTTGGGGCAAAATATGTGTCTGTGAGGTATTTTATAGCTACACATTTCTAATCGAACTATTCACAAAGGTTTCTTTTCTCCTCTTTTTTTCTCTGTGTGTGTTTGTGTGTGTGTGTGTGTATGTGTGTGCCTTCACTTATTGACTGCGTGCGTTACTAGATTTGAGTGTATGGTGTGGAAGTGTAGTTTAGATCCAAATGCAAGATTACTTCAAGAAAAACACTCAAAATAATAGCAGTATTTCAGGCTGCAGTAGGTGGTATCAATGAAGTACTAAAATTATATGAACTCCATTTTTGTGTTGTATTAGACAGAATGGGGTACAATTCAGGAAACCAAAACTCAAGAAAATTATGTATGTACATATGGATGCACCCAGTATTTATATGAATGTATACATATATGCTTGCACACAGACAGACCAAAAGTCAACTGAAGGAAAAGAAGTGCTTTTTCTCTTTAAGGGGTAGATTTCTACCATCTCACTCCAGAAAGAATGTCTATGAGCAAGAAAAATAATAGGGGCAAGGGATTTAGCTCAGTGGTTCCGCCGCCTGCCTCGCAAGCACAAGGACCTGAGTTCAACCCTAGTTACCCCCGCACCACCACCAAAAATCAAA